GTGTGTGTTGGGGGATCCTGTGTGTTGGTTGGGAAAACTGAAAGCCAGAGATGGAGAGAGAGTCGAACTATTTTTTTTAACCAATCCTAGCCGATATTGCTGAACTTTCGTTTTGACTTTAACTTAGCCACTGTGTGAATGGGATCTGGTCACTTACGGACGGATATTGAAAATAACACATGGGAGACAGGATTCCAAGCGCGCACCCCATAAATTAGTCAGCGGAAAGTCATTGGGGCACGTGCTCAAGAACAAGAATTGACTCCAGCTGAAGTTCTGCCCCAAATATTACTCTTAAATTCAAACTTCATCAGCTCAGCTCAGCTCCAGTGTCCGCTGAAGTCAATGGCAGCAGTTCCTGTGAGGTTAGTGGATGCTGGATCAGACCACAGGCCATGGGCCATGTCCACGCGACACGATTTTCATCGGTAGGGAAGGAGTTCCCAGTAATCTCCTTTCCTCTCTTCTCTACCCGGTGTGTTGAAACTTCATGTGAATTGCTGGCTGGGGCTTTCTTCTCAAATAGAAACTACTCCTTCTACTCAGACTCAATCCCCGCATAGCTCAGCCGGGAATTTCTGTTCTAGCTGCCTCCTCCGAAACCCAGCTGGAGATCTGCCGCAGAGAAAGTGTCCTTGCTAGAGACCATGATGTGTTTATACATTTTCCTTCTCCTCCTGGCCGCCCCTTCATGTAGGTCATTGTCTAAGACGGAAAATAATAAGAATTTCAGCGCACTTTAATACCAAAGTGGGAACATCAAGGTTTTACTTTCTGTTTTCCCAGGTGTCCTCTCAGAGATTCAGTTGGTGGAGTTCAGCCCGGGAGCAGTGAAGCCCGGAGAGACCTTCAAACTAACCTGTGCTGTGTCTGGTTGGTACTGGTGGCACTGGATCCGACACCACCGGCAAAGGGCTGGGATGGATGGCAGAGATAAGCCCTGGACCTTTTAAATTGACCTTTTAAATTGACTGGGTGGTTCGCAGGGCTCCTAGGTGCGCGGGACTGCCTCAGGGCTAGGCCCAGACAGCTCCCTGGGTGGCGCAGCGGCTCGGGCTGGGGAGGGCCAAGCTTCCCCCTGTTACCGTGCCTCAGTGGGTCACAATTGAGAATGCCAAATTAATGAGGAACTGCTGAGAACTAGGGCAAACACGATATACCAAACCAGCCACAAAAATAAACTCCTGATTCACCACACTGGCTAACAAGAAAACATACAGGCAGTTTCCTCAGGCATTCCAGTTCTTACATCACCACTAAAAAACACTGGATTCAGAGATGAGTGGTTCTTTGCAATGGTCTCATCAAATAATAGGTTCTTCTGATCCCAAAGGACCAGCCACACACCCAGGTCAATATATAACTGAGATCTTACCCAAAAATCGGGCTGATGCCAATCCTTTAGTATCTAAAATCTAAAGGTTTATTGAAAGAAAGAAAGAAAGAAAGAAAGAAAGAAAGAAAGGTGAGAGTGAAAACTGGTTAAAGGAATCAATCACATCCAGTAATGGCAAAGTTCTTGGTTCAGGCTTGTAGCTGTGATGGAATAAACTGCTGGCTTAAGTCAAGTTTCTGGAGCACATCCACAGCTTGGATGGGTCATTCAGTCCATTGTTCAGAGCTTCTGTTTGTAGCAAGGTTCCTCCAGAGGTAAGAAGCAAGACTGAAGACCAAATGAGGTGTTTCCAGGGCCTTTTATAGCTTTTTCCATGTGGAGGGCATCCCCTTGTTATTACTGTGAAAAATTACAGCAACGAGATGGAGTTTGGAGTCACATAGGCAAGTTTCATGTTCACGCCCAATTTCCCTCAGTCACTGCAGGAAGTCATTACCCATACTCCAGACAGGATGTTTACATGACAGTCCACTCAGTGTAGATGGGCATCTCCCATGCTCAATTGTCAACCAAGTGTTTCATGATGAGCCACTTAATTTGAATAGTCTCTCCAAGATGTGCTGGGTGTTACCTTGTGGGCATTACCCCAGGAGCAAACATTTGAAATCCAAATATAGAGCCAATACTTATAACTTCGTATACAAACATGATACTTGCATACAGATAGCATAATCATAACCAGCAAATCATCACCTTGTCATAGACACCTCATTCGACAACCTTTGTACAAGAATTGCTGCTAATATATAACACTGGTTGCAACAATGCTCTATATGGTCATACTGTAAGCAGATAATGTCACAACCCCTCGAGGCAGCCTCTCCACCCTCTACTTCTCTGGGAGCCAGGAACAGCTGCTGGTGTGGCCTGAGGTCCCCAGGGGCCAGTTCACCATCGAGGTCTGGGTGAAGCCCGAGGGTGGGCTGAGGTAACCCTGTGCCAGCGCAGCGCTCAGCGGGGGTGTAGGGAGGGGAGTTGGGGGGTGGGGGGTGTCGTGTGTGCCAGCCTGTGGCCAGTGGGGGCCAAACCGAACAGAGTGCATGGGGGAGAGCTGCCTGCTTGGCATAAACTCCCATATAGCAGCGGGTGCAGGTCCCCAGGGCAGGGAAAGGTCTCTCCGGGAGGTACGCTCCATGGGAGGCAAAGCGCCAGCCTCGGGCAGAGATGTGTGAAGCCAGCGATGGGCTAGAACCAGGCTGGGTTGGATCTGACCCCCCAGCATCTTGGGAAGAGAGTGGGCCAGATTAAGAGACTCAGTTTAGGTCCAGCTGTAGAGTTGGGCACGGTGTGGCGTGGACTCCATGGTTAATGAATCCATCTCTTCATCTTCCCCTGGCCTGCCCCTGGGTGAGCTTTCCCCCAGCCACAGACTGGGCTTGTGCATCCAGAACATGGCAGTGCTGGGCGGCTTAAGATGTAGCTGGTCAAGAGGCATCCAACTGAGTGAGCCGAGCCATGTCGGTCATACAATACCATCCGTGCTGCCTGACCCAGAGCCGGCCAGCAGAACCCCTGAAAGCTCCTACTGCCCGATCGTAAAGGGGCAGAGTTTAGACTTGGTTCAAATTGCCCTGAACCCTGTGCAAAGCGGGTCTAGAACACCTACCAATCTGATTTGGTAGCGCTTCACACCCATCTTGCACAGGTGTAAATGCTACACAGGGCTATGGGAAGCTGAGCCCAATCTTTGTCAGACTGAGAGATTTAGCTCCAGATGGTAACTCAGTGAGGTCTGCGAGCTTTCCTGGAGGAGACCCTTGGGGAAATACATAGCTGAGAATTGCTTACCTTGCTGCTGGCACCAGTGCTGGATAGAAAACAGCCTGTGGGACTGATCAGTGGAGGTGTGTCCTTATGGGATAAGCACCTGGCAGATACTAGCTGGATGCTGTGCTCAGGGCCGGCCCTAGGCACCAGGGTTCCAAGCATGTGCTTGGGGCGGCACTTTTCAAGGGGCGGCACTCCGTGTTTTTGGGTTTTTTTGTTTTTTGTTCTTGTTGTTGCTTGTGGCGGGAAAAACCTGGAGCCGGCCCTGAGAGTGACTCGGTAAAAGGTCGATTCACCGTCTCCAGAGATGACCCCAACGGCCTGTTGTACCTGAAGATGAACAGCCTGAAACCCAAGGACACCGCCCGGTATTACTGTGCGAGACACACACACACAGGGGAATCCCAACAGGTCTCATACAAAAACCCGAGCGGCAGAACCGCCCTTCTCCCGTGCGCCGCGCGGGGTAGCACTTCCACAAACAATCCAGCCCTGGGCACAGGAACGGGAGCTACAGACAGAGTGAATAAAAATCAATCACTAGGCTTCAGAGCTCAATATCCATCTATGATCATGTGTCCATAAAACTGGGGCTTCCTGAATATTCACCGGTTTGAATGTGGCCCTTATCAGACACCAAAGTAAAAATGCACAGCGCAGAAGAGGAGTATTTGGGGAATCAATTCTCAAGGTGTGATAAGTAGGACTTGGATTTCAAAGGTGCCTAAATGTGTTGGCGTCACATTTTTGGGGCACTAATGCTCTCAACTTCCTTTAAAAAATCCCCCCATGGCACTATAGATCTAACACACTCCTGAAAGGAGACATCAGGTTCCAAACTCCTCTGGCCTCAATACAAACACAGATGTTCACATGATACTGTCCTGATCGCTATTCGAATAGTCTTCACTGTAAGGGTCTGATCCAAACTCTGCTAACGCCAGTGGTGGGTCTTTCCCTTCCCTTCAGTAAACTGTAGCTCAGCCCTTACATCCAGAGGGATGGGAGGGATTTCAAGGGAGCTCTTTGTGCACCAGTCTGGTCAGATGGCCCCGCACTCGCTGGGCGCTGCCCAGACACAAAGTTAGCACCAGTCCGACTCCCTCTCCTAGAGCAACCAGCCAAATAACTCTGAGCATTGACGGAAAGGGGTTGTGTCTCTCCTATAAGCAGCGGGATATGCAAATAAGGGTGAGAGTTTTCTGTTTAAATCTGTCCTTCTCTCTGCCCAGGCTGCACCCGGAGAGACAATCCGCAGCCCCCTGGGTCTGTGCAGTTACCAGCCAGTCCCCTGAGACGTTTCCCCTCCAAAACAGGGGAAATGAGACTTTGGTTTCATTTAGTTTTCATTTTTGCAGCTTTGGAAGGTATTTTTGTCTCCTGAGTAATTTGCACAGTCAGGTGAATGTTATACTATTGCTCTTTTGATGTGATTTGTATTGTGTCTTTCTTCCCAGGTGCCCAGTCGCAGGGGTTGGTGGAGTCCGGAGGGGATGTGAAAAAGCCCAGAGACTCTCTGCGCCTCTCCTGCAAATCCTCAGGGGGATGTGAAAAAGCCCGGAGACTCTCTCCGCCTCTCCTGCAAAGCCTCCGGCTTCACCTTCAGCAGCTACAATATGAATTGGGTCCGCCAGGCTCCTGGGAAGGGGCTGGAGTGGGTGTCATTCATTGGCAGCAGAGGGCGAAATATCTACTACTCTGACGCAGTCAAAGGCCGATTCACCATCTCCAGGGACAACTCCAACAACCTGCTGTATCTGCAAATGACCGGCCTGAAACCCGAGGACACCGCCCGGTATCACTGTGCGGGGGAAGCACAGTGAGGGGAAGCTGGTCTGAGCCAAGACAAAAACCTCTCCCTGCAATAATTAGAGAAGTGGGTTGGGGGCGTCCAAGATCTGTCAGTGAAAATGAGATCAGTTATGGGAAGAGGTCTAGCAACAACAACCCCTTTTTATTCTTATCATTATTCCTCTTTTTTTTATTATTATTTTAGTGAAGATCAAAGAGTTTACACAAGTTCCCACAAAGGACAGAAAAAAATTATTTGGTGCTCTTCCTCTTTCTTTCCTCTGCTGGGGACAAATTCTGAGCCCACTCACAGTGTCCTGGACAGTTACAGAGTTAGAGACCTAAAGGTCGGAGCGGAGCAGGATGAGAAACTAGTCCGACCTCCTGCATAATACAGGCCATAGAGCCTCAACCGGATTCATTCCGGTTCCGTCGAGCGCCCTCTTCAATTCACCGGGCTGGGATCCGCTCAGTGTCACCCTGTCAGTGTCAGTGACACACTCCAGCAGAAAAACACCACTCGCTCAGCTCTTGGCACGAGAACCCACCATTTGTTTGTTTGTTTGTTTGTTTCTTTGTCTGGTTAGTTGAATACTTTTTCCACCAGTGGTGGCTCTTCTAGCACAAGGAGCATTTTCCTAGGAGAAAAAAGAATAATGGGTTAAATCAATAAAGAAATAACCCCCCAAAATATTCATTTTCTGGTTCTAATAATAGCACAAAATGGGGGGGAATCCGTGAGAGACAGAGGGGGTGGGGTGCAGGGTCCGCTTCTCCCGTCCAGCAAGGGGGGAAGCAATGAAAAAACATCACAGCACAGCCTTGGGGACAAGCCTGAAAAAGGGTAGTGGAGATTGGAAAACATGATTTTTAACTCTGTTTCTACACAACCTGCTCATTTGCACATAGAAAAGCTGCAGGTGCACTTTGACTTCCCCTCGCCAGTAATGTCTCAGGGTTAAACTTCAGTGCTGGGTCCCTCAGGCTCCTGGGAAGTATCTGGAGTGGGTCTGCAGGGCGGAGTAGACAGGAAAGTGTTCACACTACACCGATTCGGTGAAAGGGCGATTCGTTGTCTCCCAAGACAATCCCAACAACCAGCTGTATTTACAAACGAGCAGCCGGAGACCCGAGGACACAGCCCATGTCACTATGTGAGAGACTGGATCACAGGGACAAAGCCCGTCACCAAAACCAACGGTGGGTTCACACCGTGTTTGCTTTTAAAATGGCCAAATCTAAGAAAAGACAGGAATTAAACCCAATAGTCAACGTTATGTCAATGGGGCCGATGCGTGCTCAGTTTTATTTTACAGAACGGAGTAGATGAAATAGTTAGAATTTGACTGAACATGCGGAGGACGGTATAAAATCCTTTCATGTTCTGTATTCCGTTATTACTGGCAGGAACCATTGGTCTGACAGTACCAGGGCAGGAAATATAAGCAGTAACGAAGCACGTAAAGTTGACTGACAAACGCCCCTGTGGAATGTTATCATCGTTGAAGACATCTATCTATCTATCTATCTATCCCCAGCCACCCCATCTATCTATCTATCTATCTATCTATCTATCTATCTATCTATCTATCTATCTATCTATCTATCTATCTATCTATCCCATCCACCCTCTATCTATCTATCTATCTATCTATCTATCTATCTATCTATCTATCTAGTCTATCTATCTATCCTATCCCAT